GGTGCGTGCCTGTAATCCCAGCTACTCAGGAGGATGAGGCAGGAGAATTGCCTGAACCCAGGAGACGGAGGTTGCAGTGAGCCGAGATCGCGCCATTGCCCTCCAGCCTGGGTAACATGAGTGAAACTCTGTCTCAAAGAAATATAGAGACAATGAGATAAATTAAATTTATAGTGTTAATACTTTGGTGTGGTTTAGAGAGATGTTTTATAATCATTTGGATATTTTAAGGTGTTAAGGAATTCAGAATATTGGATAATCTGATTACAATCTGAAATGCATAATTTACATTAGACTAATACTAATTTTAAAGATGTCACAGACTAGGTTTTTAAATGGTATTGAAATGTTTATTATACATTTTGTTTTACTTACTACATTAATTGCTTAGAAATTGCTTAAGTGCATAGAAAATTTTGTTTTCTAGGTTTGTAGGTTATGCTTTCTTTTAAAAAACTAAGGACTATACAAGATGTTGTTTGAGCTACCTAGACAAAGTAAAAATGAAAAAGAGTGGACTTGGTGCTTGCAAGTGAGTTGAGGATGATAGAAAACAATTACACCTACTCAACTTGCATTTCAAGTCTGTCTCTCTGTCTAGAGAAGGGTTTGTGTCCTGAACAAGATAAAACCAACTTTTGGAATGTTTGAGAAAATCAGATATGTCAAATGTGTAAAATTTAAAATGTGCCTGAGGGAATTTAATTAACTGAATTTATAAATTGGATTATTTAAAATTTAATCTTTTAAACTGAGTTAACTGAAGGAATCAAAGAAAAAGAGACCATGAATTCTTATTTTTTAAGATGGGTTCTTAGTCTGTTGCCCAGGCTGGAGTGCAGTGGAGTGATCTCAGCTCGCTGCAATTACCTCCAGGGTTCAAGCGATTCTCCTGCCTCAGCCTCTTGAGTAGCTGGGATTAGAGGTACCTGCCACCACACCTGGCTAGTTTTTGAATTTTGAATAGAGACAGGTTTCACTATGTTGTCCAGGCTGGTCTCCAACTCCTGACCTCAAGTAATACAACTCCCTAAGTGCTGGGATTGCGGGCGTAAGCCACTGCACCTGGCCTGAATTCTTGTTTTTATATAAAATACTAGATTTATAACAAGACTTTTAGGTTGAATTTAAAGGCTTAGGCAACACTAGTCTTTTGAATGTACACTTTGAATATATTTAATTGATTAAAATTCCATTTCTTTGGAGTGGTCCCTTGAGTGCACAATATTCCCACAGATACTCAAAAGCTCAAATGATAATAGCACTCAGTAAGTGGCAGTTACACATGGTCCTTCACTGTTGATGGTTCATTTAACTTATTTTTGACTTTACGATGGTTCAAAAGCAATGCACATTCAGTAGAATGTCAATAAATTACAAAAAATCTTCAACACTTGAGTATAAAATAGGCTTTGTGTTAGATGATTTTGCCCAACTGTAGGCTAACGCAGGCATTCTGAGCACCTTTAATGTAGATTAGGCTAAAGTGTGATGTTCAGCAGGTTAGGTGTATTAAATGCATTTTTGACTGAACAATATATGTATTTTGTTGTTTCTTTTTTTGATTTTTTTTTTTTTTTTTTTTTTTGGCGGAGTCTCGCCCTGTAGCCAGGCTGGACTACAGTGTTGTGATCTCAGCTCACTGCAGCCTCTGCCTCCTGGGTTCAAGCAATTCTCCTGCCTCAGCCTTCTGAGTAGCTGGGACTAAAGGCGTGTGCCGTCATGCCCAGCTAATTTTTGCACATTTAGTAGAGACGAGGTTTCACCATGTTGGCCAGGATGGTCTTGATCTCTTGACCTCGTGATCCACCGCCTCGGCCTCCCAAAGTGCTGGGCTTACAGGCATGAGCCACTGCACCCAGCCAACTTCACAATATTTTAACGTATGATAAGCTCATCAGGACATACCTTATCATAAATTGAGGAGCATCTATATAATTAACAGTGATTCTTGCCTTCCCTGTTGTCCTCTAGAATCCCTGCAATAAAACTTCCATGATAGTGTATGTATTCTTGTGACCCTGAGGGTCCTGATTAGTCACAGGTAAGAATTACTCCAAACAACAAAACAGTACTTCTTTGAGTCAATAATTTTATTACTATTATTTTTCACACTGAGGAGACTTAGTTACATAAAGTGATATTCTATGAACTGATGATCAGTAGTAGAAGCACAAAGGTATGGACAGTGAAACAAGAAGAAACGCCGTTTATCAGAATGAAGTCCAGTGACAGAAGTACATACTCCAAACAGTCTATGTACAAATAGAGCTTCCTGCCTATGTACAGACATATTCACAGAGAATAAACTGACATAGTATCGCCATGTATCCCATCATCCAGTGAAAATTGCTCATAATAAACACAACACACACAAAATGACAGAAGTAATTTGGAAGTGCATCCATTGGAGTTTTGTAGGGGTGAGGATAGGGGTTACAATGCTCCTTTAAAATGGAGGGGAACAAAGGAAGCATGAGACCACATCCATCCTAAAAAAGAGCCTTTACAAAAATGGCATTCTGATATTTTTAACACAAACTGTCTAAAAGACAGTTTATATATTATAGAGCAAATGTCTATGTTGGAGTCAACATTGACAACATGATCTCAGTTTTAACCATGTCTGAAGAACAAAAGTATAATTTCTCTTTCCTTTAGTGCTAGCAGCAACTTCACTGAATCAGGAAGGTAACTTTTGCTATTCTTAATTTGATGGCTTTTTGAGTTGGTGGATTGCTTGAAGGTGGAAGCTGTTGCTTCCGGAGGTTTTTGACTTGAGAAATATCAAGGCTAGATGCAGGGCTTATATATGAACTTTGTATGTAGGGCTCAATAGGGCAATTCAGTAACAGAGACTCCCTCTTCTGAATAGAGTCTCAGCCCTTTAGAGAAACTCTTTTAGATCACAAAACATCCTCCAACAGAGGAGTATCACTGGCCCTTGGTTCAGATACCCTTTCTTTAGGGCAAATTGGCCATTTAAGCATAAAATTGATGGGGCTGTCCAATTTAGTATGTTTACTCTATGTAGATAATTTAGGTACCCAGTTCTGGTGGATATTTCTAGACTATTCAGTTCTTTTTAGTCATTATTTTACTTTCACTCAAGTGATATAAAAGGGCTGGGTATGGTGGCTCATGCCTTTAATCCCAGCACTTTGGGAGGCCAAAGCAGGAGGATCTCAGGAGCCCAGGAGTTTGAGACAAGCCTGGGTAACAGAGGGATACTCTGTCTCTTAACAACAACAAAATTAGGCATGGTGGCATGTGCCTGAGGTCCCAGCTACTTAGGAGGCTGAGGTGGGAGGATCGCTTGAGTCCAGGTCTTTGAGGCAGCACTGAGCTATGATTGCACCACTGCACTCTAGCCTGGGTGACAGAGCAAGACCCTGTCTGTTAAAGAAAACTATATAAACATTTGCGATGAAGTAAAACATTAAAGTTTTAGTTGTAGGGACAACTTTATGTATGTGTTTGTAAACAGTGTACCATGCTAGGTTAGAAATTGTGCATTTTAGCAGAGAGGGGGGAAAAAACACCAATGCATTATGAAGTATGCTGTTTTACATGTCCTCCCAAGGAAGGTTAATAATTTTGGCATAAGAAATTATGTATCTCTATCTGCCATTTTTATAAGGGAACTTATTAGACCTATCCTGTATTTCTATTAAAGCTCAAACACACCCTACATTTCCCAGGTATATGTTTGCTAATTATCTGTTTCACTCTCTGTATGGGTGAACCTTGCTTTACATAACAAAATGGATTCCTGAAAAACAATCTATAATTTTAAAATAATTTCCATGTAGTATTAGAACTTGCTATTTAAAGAAACTGTAGAAGCTATTTTGAGAATGAAGAATGCTTTTGTGAAATGAATAATTTCTTTGATTTTTCAAAGTTTTATTAAACCACACATCTAAAATTTATAAGTAGATTAGAATTGCCTAGAACAATAATTATAGGTAATAAAAAATAGAACAGATCAACACCAATTTACAACAAACAATACAAAACAGGAATGACTCATGGACTGCTTATTGATTGACTATATTCAGAAGCCCTGAATATATGTATTATTGGTATTTTATGGCTTTAAGACAATTGTCTCTTATGAAGTACTATAAAGTGCAATATTAAAAAATTAAAAAACCCAAAAGGCATCCATTGTCCTTCAGTTTTATTCTGATGAGAAGAATTGGAGATTTGTTTAATTAAATGGCAAGAAGTTATTCTTAATTCATGCATGTAATTTCATTTTTAAGATAATTGTATTCAGGGTTTCAGACTTTTTTCACTTTTCTATTTTCCATGACATGATTTAAAAAGTAAGTATTTTCTTTTGGTTAGCTGAGTATTTTAGAGAACTGTTAGTCTCCAAGGCCTTAGTTACTTACGGATCCATTATGAAGGAATATGCAGAATATGTAAGAATGCAGAAACAAATTCCCATCCTTTTGGTGAACCCTAGCCAATGAGAAAAGTCCTATCCAACCTACCACACAAAAGGATGTGAATATACTGCAGTACTAGTCAATAAGTGGAGAGCCAACTATTTCCCCCAATTCCATATTCAAAATAAAAATATTGATTCCTCTTGGTAAATTAGTAAGTGCAGGCCCAGAGTTTTGGAGTAATCTAAAGTGGTGTCTCCTCGATTCTGAGTCCTTTGTGAGTCTGAGATTATGACTTAATGACCTTAAAAACAGTGTGTGATCTTGACTTCACCAGGGCTTCATGGTCATGCTGCATCCAGTATAGTTCAACACTGTTCAGACCTTATCCTTGTGTCCTGATTAGTCATTAGATTTCATCATTTAAGACCAATATAAAGAATTTAAAAAGGCTTAGTAGAGAGGAACTAGAAAAATTAAGAGGATTAAAAGACTCAAAAATCTAAAGATACTTTTAATGACAATAGGTAAAGAGTCACATAGTGGTGACTTCTAACTATGTCTAGGGTGAAGAGTGCCCAGATGCAGTTATTTTTTGCCAAAAAAAAAAAAAAAAAATAGGTTAAGTCATTAAGTGGAGGGGCTTGGGTTAACCTGGAGGGAGACTGTTTCTGATGCTGATGGTTGTTAAACATTGAGCTGGGTCACACCAGCATCTATGCTGGACTCTGCCCTGTAAGAGGACTATCCTTTGGATTGGGGTTATAGGCTAGACAAACCCTCTTAATGGAATGAAATCTTTGGTGGGAGCCTACGCAAACTCCATGGCATTCTTTCAGACTTAGATGTTTGTCTGTTTTTAAAAAATCAGTTAGGTTTTCCAGTCTTTCAATGAATCATCTAGTAGAAGTGCTCTGGCTGAGATAATAGGGTGATCTATAAAGTCCCTCACTATTCGTGTGCAAATTTAAAAACAGTTGTCTATCCGGTCCTAATTGCAGGGTCATTTTTGCCTCTCAAATGCTGCCTGACTTGTAGATGTACTTGTCCTTTGTAGTGATTTCTCACTGTTAAGAAATCTGTCCCTAAGCATATTAAGGACCTCTGTGGAGTTTGGGTAGTTCTGAGCAAGGCTGGCGCCCCACATGACAGGAAGGCATGTAAAATGCCAGCGCGTACATGAGTTGGGGGAGTCAGCGTGGAAAACAGATTCCTTCCAGAGCAAACATGAGTGTGCCTATGATTTCTACAGACTCCTACCTGCTCCTGGTGATTACATGCCACAGCCTGTGCGGGTCCAAAGCTCCTGGTGAATTGAAAGGAGTATTGCCATGGTGGAATAATAAGTAATAGGGTTGAGCTGGTTCTGAGTAGTTCCCTTATTGCTTTTCTTGTTTGCTATATATTTCAAAAAATATGAAGCTGTGAGATTAAAAATGAAACACAAAGATAGAGGCAGAATCAGAGACCTAACTGTAAATAGATGGTGGAACAGGGCAGGGTTTCCTTTCTTTCCCAAGGTCTTCTTGAGAAGGTTTATTTTTTATTTTTTTTAAATCTAAAACTATATGGGCTCTTGTAATTGGCTAAACATAGCCTGATATTTGTAACCATTTTAAACTACATAGGGATATATTTCAATGTGACGCTTGTTTTCTTGGGAATCCTAGGAAATTAATATCTCCTTTCTTCCCTTTCCTTATTCTTCTATTTTTTCTCCTAACCCTCTCTTAATGATGAGGCCTTACCTAGTAATTGAAGACAATATTGTTGAGAGAGGTATAGGGGTTGAGGATGCATCTTTTAAAAATGTTAAGCTGGATGGTCAAGGAAGATCTGGCTTAGCAAGAGTGAGCATTGACTTCTATGCCCTCAGGAGACAGTTGTTTTCTCCAGAAATCATCCTGAGAACAGCTTCACTTTGTTTCTTCTTCTGGAACAGAGCTGCCACCTACTTACTGGAAAAACAATCTGTCCAGGTGCAAAGAAGCATGGCATCCACATAATCTTGCGTGTGGGGGGTTTGGGTGTGTGTTTGGTAGATGTGGGGAGGAAAGCACACTGTCATGTTCTGAAATGCTTGCCATCAGACCCCTGTTACATGGTCCAATGCAGTAATTCTGCAGAGCATTTAACACAAGTTCCATCTTCAACTCTATCTGGCCAGCTGCTCTACCAGGTGTCATTTCTTTGGTCAGCTTTTTGTTAGAGTGGTCTGGGGGTGGGCTCCCTTTCCAGTTCCTCTCTCCTCTCACTGGTCCAGAGGCCTTTAAAAGCTATGTGCAGTGGTGGGGAGTTGGCCGACTCTCTCCCTGCCCAGGAATGGATGTACGTTAATGTTGTCAAATGTCTAATCAGCGAGGCAGCTGTGTTTTGCTGAAACGGCTCCAAACCACCTGATTCATGTCTTCCCTATAAAATACATTATAATGGCCCTTGTCAGGTGACACCTGTTAGAAGCCTTACAAAGCATTTTCCCTGAATATGAAACAGTCTCCGCCTCTTTTTATAATCTCCTGGGCAAGGCTTTAGGACATTCTGCTGCATCTGCCAAGTATATTAAACAACCCCATCCCTTAGTCCCAGCATACAGCACTGCTCTGTCACTGCTTGACTCGGTTTAGGTCCTGGGAAGTCGCATGAACACCATCTAATCTTCAGTTTCAGTTCATCAGGATCTGGTCAGGTTCAGAGGGCAGCTGGAGATAGCATGGGTATTCTCAGATGCAATTTAGGAGTTTCTATTTGGGAACTGTCAGTTTGAGCCAAGCTGCTCTGCGGCCTTGGAAGTATGAGGGAGGGCGGGTGGTGACAGCAAGCAAGACCTGCTTGGTTTGCTGTGAGTAAATGAAATCATTTGTGCGCAACTCATTTTATTTTAGATTGATTAGTACAATGTTGGCTCTTGAATTGGTGATATCTTTTATACCCTGCTCCAGAGAAGCAAAGAGAATATCTGCAGTCTAAATTTTTGCTCTGTATTTTCTGTTGTGTATTCTTTGCCTCTATATCAGCATTAGGGATATGGCTGACCATTTCCTTAAGGCTATAAATCGATATTCTTAGGGTGGGGAAATAGGGGTACATACATGTATATTTGTATATATATATGTTCATGGAACAAAACCACCTTATGAAATCAGGAAGAAATGTTCCCTTTGGTTTGTGTGCATGACTTTCCTTTTCCTTGACTTTGGCAAACTTAATGCTCCCTGCTTTAGAATCCTGAATGTAATAGGGTCAGAGGGTGATGATGTAAGTCATATTATATGTGTACATATAGATCTGGTATAAAGATAAATGTATATTTATATATGTATATACACAGGCATGCAGGAAAAGGAGTTAGAGATGACTTGCTCTAGAAACCATAATGGGGAAAGTTCTTATAATCATACCAATGAGTTGAATGGTTCAAAGACCCACTGTTGCACTCAGTACACATCTCTCTGAATTGACCCTGGCCCAACACATAACCACTTACTCACAGACACAGAAATGAAGGGAAAGCAAGGGCAGGCTGTGAAATCACTTGTGTCTGTAGGTCAGGCTCGGTGCACATGACTGAGGTGGGAAGTGGGCTGGAAATACTGTCTTCTCAAATGCAATTTCACATGGAAGACCACAACACTTCCTGTGAAGTGGAGCTCCCAGACAAACCAAGGGCACCACAGCTGCTTGGATCAGCCTTCACTGTGAGCTGGGAGTAAATGGGAGGGAGTGAGGAGGCAGGGGGAGGATCAGAAATAAGAAGAGGGTTGCACCAGAGCTCCTTCAACTTTGGTTTTACATAGTCTGTTTGCAGCTGAGTCGGTCACCTATTTAAACCTTCTTTGAAACAACACACCAGTCAATAATATAAAATCCATACAGTAACCAACTTTGCTGCCCTTCAAGAAATACACAGGGAAAACAACTGGAGTTTTTAAACGTAAAATTCACTTCCTCATTCTTTCACTCTAAGGAAGCAGCACAAGTTCTTGCCCCAGGACTAAGTCCTAACCTCGATGAATGTGATTCATTCCCGTTAGGTGGCAGGTCCCACTGAGCACCTCTATTGGATGGTGTTTCAATGTCTTGGCAGGCATTGTCACACATCTGAGGACCCCACTCTGCCAAGCTGGAGAGACTTGAAAGCCAGCCTCTGACTGGCAGCCATCTTGATTTCTTGTTTTCCCAGGGGGCCTCGGGTTTAAGGTGCTTTTTGCTTCCGGGTGAAGAGCAATGATGGGCACTTCCTGTTATTGCCATGATCTGTGGGGTAAGCTGAGGTTTTCTGGAAGGAATATAGAGCTTGATCTGGGGCTGTCAGGTTACCTTTCCTCTTACTCTGCTGTGAGTTCTGCATGCTGTCTTCCCACGTTAAGAGGTGTGTGCTCACAACAAAATCATGGCAGCCTTCAATGACAGAATAGGTTGGAGATGGGAACACACGTGGTGAAGTTTCCCACATGCCATATGTACCAACTTAGACTTAGGATGGGTACAGAATAATGAACCATCCTTGATTCACTTTTTCAATTGATTTTAAGGAAAAGCATGACTTAGATAAATGAAAAGCACTCTTTTTTTTTTTTTTTTTTTTTCCCTCTCAGTAATGGGTATAAGCAATCTACGCAGTTCTTCATTGATTTAGCTTGCCTATTTTTTCCCCCTTGCTGGTTTTATTTTCTACTGACATAGATCTTAGAAATCATATAAGATGTCACATAGAACTTAGGGGCACTGAATGCATGAAATTAAAATATTCCATGTAACGAGCAAAATCAAGAAATCAAATTGTTGGAACGAATAGCTTCCTTACACAAATTTCAAGCTATCAAATACAGTGTACTCTAAAAACTAGAGAGAGTTCCAGATGGAGTCCTGATGGAAGAAGAGACACAGATGTTACAAGAACTTTAACCAAAGCCTGGTCCTGGTACAACTTGACCTGGCACTCAGAAACCTTCCTGGGGTGCACTGAGTGTGCAAATGCCTTTCCAAGCATCTCTAAGCTGCCTCAACCCAAGCAGAGTTAATTTAGTGCTATTGGGAATAATGATTTCTGCAGACACTAAAGCCCTTTATGACTACATTAGAAAACGTTTTAAAGAACTATGCCCTTACATCCCATTAGGTGGCAAGGCCCACTAAGCACCTCTACTGGATGGTTTCTTATCACACATCTAAGCTCTCTTGGCAGCCCTTAGCATCAAAATATATCTAAATGACAATCACAGCTAAGTTTACCCACCTTCTTTTGATGATAATGGGACATGCGCTGGAAGAATACAGGTTCAGTTTATGTAGTCTTGCTGTCCTAGAAAAAGCACTAATTTGCTTTGTAGTCATATATTCTACTTGCATGCTGCGACAATATAAGAACAAAACAAAAAACCCAACCCTGGTTGTTACTTCCTCGCTTCCCCAAACCAGTGTCCACCTGGTCTGGGTTTTTAATCTCTGTCTGTCCTAAGTACCCTGAGTTTCTCGGTCAGGGTACTCCGGTGGAGGTGGGCAGATAGTCTCCCTGTTTTGCTTGTGGGAATGTTTTGGAAGGCTCAGCTCAGGGCCCCTATGGACCTTCTCCACTAAGCCCTCCTCCCTGCAAACTATTTCCCTAAACCATCTACCTTACCAGGCAGGATCTCAGCAAGTCCAAGGTAGCTGAAGGTCACCACAATGCTACCTTTGTCTATTGGTTCCATTAGTTCACCTGTTGCACTTAAGAGGTAAAGCCCAGACTGCAGGTTGATGCCCCTCTTCAAATAAGTACTATAAATATACTAGAGCTATCCCTGAAAAGATGCATTTGTACTTATATATATATATATATATCTCTGATTTTATATATATATATAATTTTTCTTTGTGTCTATTTACAGGTATGTACTAATCTATAGGTATGGAAGGAGAGCTATAGTACAGGAACAGGCAGGATTTGTGTGTTCATGTGCGTATATTTATAATATGTATATTTATAGGTATATATATATAGAGCCTCTGTCCTTGTTTGCATCGAATGTACCTCCGACCAGCGAGGAGTACCTGTCAGTGGTGAATGGGGAGAAGCCCCATGATGACGGTTCTCTTGTCTCTTATGTGAAGTAATTTTGGTAGGCAAGGTGGAAGCAGCCTGTGAAGTGAATGGGCCCAGTGTGAATCCACCTCTCCTCAAATCCACCAAGGAGGGACACTTGGCACCCAGGGCTATGTGCCAGCTGCCTCTTCTCAAGAGGTCAAGGAGCCCAGAGCCGAGAGTGGGGAGGGACCATTCATGCTGTTGGTGCAAGATATGGCTTTTCCTGCTAGATAGAGACGGGGCATGTAAGAATTCTGTCTTCTAGGAGAACGCTCACCACCAGGAACACAAAGTAGAGGCCAAACATGATGAAGCCCAGGATTTTGTTCATTCGCCACTTGCAGAGGGCAATGGAGAGGATGACGAAGAGCAGCATGATGAAGAGAAGGACGATGGCACAGAAGAGGCCATTGCTGCTGACAGCCACTGGCTGGAATCTGTGAAGGATGGTGTATAGGAGCCAGGGCAGTGGGAGCCTGTGCAGGAGCAAAGCAGGGCAGAGGGGAGTGGGAAGACAAGGGAGTAGTCAGACACGTTGAAGAAGGCAAACAACCAAACATTACGCTCTCAGGAACTCTAATCTGAAAAGGGTGTCTCGTTAGGTTCACTATGTCTCGGGTGTGGTGGGCCCAGACTTTAAAAGCCTTTGTCCATGTCCTGACTGAATTCAGCACAGAGGGAGCAGTCAGACATCAAAGAAATGACTGCTGTAGGTGATTTCTGCATTTGTGAATTTGATTGGAAATTATTTTGTTTCCTTCCTAGTTGAGATTAAAATGTTGCTTTCAGTCCCAAAAAGGTGAATAGCAGGATTTGCACAGGGTGAAGGGAGCAGGCAGGTATAAAAAAGTCATAGAAATGGGTGGTGAAAATGGGAAAAAAATTAAAAAATGGAGACAAAGAATAGCAATGACTTAACAGTCTAAAGGCAAGTAAAATCAAATGACAGCGGTGGGGGTCTGAAGTTTATTCTGGGAAAGACGTTGTCAATGGTTTGATGAGAAATTGGTCTTTCTGAAAGATTTAAGGAAGACAGTGTCTTCCATTTTTTGATGTGTGTTTAAAAAAAACTTTATATTTTTATACCTGTTTTCTCCCTTTTCATTCAGCTTTTAAAATCTGAGGATATCCTATGTTTCCTTTTCAGAGCGGTGACTCTGAAAGCCCTCAGGAAAGCTAGTTGCCAGGATACCACAAGAGTTGACTAGAACTCTGGGTAAGGAAGATGGCTAGAAGTGCAGGGCTCAGGGGACATGGACATTGTCAAGTGGCTAGTGATAGGCATCCGGCTCTGCTCACCAGCCTAATGATAGCATGGTGGCTAAGAGATACCTACTTGGCTGGCCGAGCTTTCTGCATGACAGAAATAGCTAAGTGAGGTTCAGTTTTGGCTTAGTCTCAGGGTGTGGAAGAGGAGGTGCTCTTTCGAAACATTACGTTCTCCAAAGGAAGAGAAATAATGAGAGTGAAAGGGGCAGTGAGTTTACTTATCTGCCTCCTCTGCTGGAGAGAGGGTATTGGAAGGTAGAGCCCATGAAGTGTAGATGTTTGAAATTCCAGGCCTGGCACATGCAGCCCCTAACTGGGTGCATATGTTAACCTGGGCCAAGCTGAAGTGATTGATGTGACTACCTTGCAGGGATCAGTACAAGCACTTTGCCCACTAGAAGCGGGCCAGGAGGTGCTTGCTTATGTGAACTTGTCGGGGAGGGGTTCCAAGCCAGGGAACAAGGGGGTAATTCCAGTTCTCAGCAAGAGAGGGCAGCCCTGGCATCCTGGGGTCAGCAGTGAAAAGTCAGAAAAGGGAAGGGGAGGGCCTGAGAGTGCGAATGATGCCAAAATGAGAGCCATCGACAGGAACTTGTACGGGAAACTCTTTTTCCATCTCTTGTAAAGAAAAGACCGAAACACATTTTATTCTTATTAAAACGCGCATGCACACGTGCACACACACACACACTCTCACTCTCTCTCTCTCTCTCTCTCTCTCTCTCTCTCACTCTTCTAGTGAAGTTGAGTTTGATAGCACTACAAATGGCTTGCAAAAACCTTTTGGGGAAAATTACACTTTTTATGACTTTTGGTCTCTATCAATTCTATTGTCAGGAATTAAGTATAAAACTCACTTAAAATGTAGGTGAAACTACTCAGAAAAATGATCATTTCAATATTACTTTGAATAATAAAAAACTGGGTATCTCTAATAACCTCTAATATTAGGGAACTAGTTAAATAGCAAATAAGTAAATGTAATATTGTATAGCTGTTTAAAATCACAAGCTTAGAATGATACAAGAAAATAACCATAATATAATTCTAAGCTAAAAATGAAAGATGCATACATATGCACAAAAAGCAATGTAATTTCAATCATGTGAAATACACAAGAATTAAAAAAGTGTAGTGAGTTACTGTTTATTTTTATTTTCTAAATCTGAGTGTATGTTAATTTTAGAAGCATAAGGAAAATGCTGGCAAAGCTATGAAGAAACTTTTACACTTAATATATTGTTAATGACATCACTCAATGTATTGTCAAAAATGTTCTAGTATAAATTCTTGGGAAATAACTTTTTGGAAAAGAAATATACAAAATACATCATTAGCCATTAAGATGTCCAAAATATTTAGTTCATTAATAATGCTAAAAGGAATTTATCCTAACAAAATAATTAAAAGAGGAGGTTTTTCTGCATCAAGGTGTTCATCAACATTCTCACAGCAAAAAATTAAAGAAAATCCTATTAAATGATAATTAAAAAAACCCGCTGCAAAACAAAACATCAAGAGGGAATATTTGAAGCTACAAAATGTTAGTTATGAGAGCTATAGTTTTAGAAAAATGGCTGATATGATTTACTAATTTATTCACAGATACCTCTCTATGCCAGGCATATATTGCTTTAAAATGGAAAAATAAAAGCCTTCCAAGAGACAAAACTGAATATTTTACTAAGAAAACTTTGTGAAATGTATGGAAGAGCACATACATATTGTTTCTGGGTAATAGGATTAGTAGTGATTTTTCTTTAAACTTCCATTTGTGTGTGTGTGTATATACAATTTAAGAATAATGAACAAAAAGCACTTTGTAATTCTTTGTAACACACTGTAGAACATTACTATTTTTTTTTTTTTTACAAGAGATTGTCCAAGAACACTACTATGAATATATGGACCACAGATTTGATAAACGCTGTTTACAGTAGGGACATATACGTTTTAAGGCATTCATTCATTTATTCATCCATCCATCCCACAAACATTTGTCAAACAACTACCAAGGATAGCAATGTAGTAAGCCCTGATGAGTTTCTTGCTCTTAGGGATGCACAGTCTAGCAGGCAGATACACCACGACAAGAATAAGATATACAGAGAATCGATAGGGGCAAGAACCTCGAAGTCAGGCCCAGGAGAATCAGAGAAAACAGGATTTAAGTTATCACTAAAGGATAAGTCAGAGGTTTTCAGTCAGACAAGCACGGAGAGCTCTGCAGCGGGGGCTCACGTGTGGTTCAGATAGTGGACATTCGTAGCAGAGTTTTATGTACAGAGAGTGCTGCCACTGATAATACAGACTCTTTGTTCAAACCTTAGCTACCTCATTTACTAGTTGTGTGAACTCTGGGCCCCTTCAGTGTTTTTAATCTGAATAATAGGAGTGATAATACATACCTAATAGAATTATTGTGTGGCTTAAATGGAGAAAAATGTATGTACAGTGTACATGGTAGACAATGTATGAAAAATATTAAGGTCATGAAAAGGTGTAAGAACAATATTCAAGATATTTAATGAGAAAGTAGGTGCTTTTAGTGAGGTTCCAAACTCAAGTGTTAGGAGCCCAGTACTCCTGGGAACATAATGATAACATCTTATGTCTTATTTTCCCAGGGTACTGATGTTCAAGGTTATTCGTCAGACTACTTTTACTTTTGACAAGTTAAATAAAATGGTATTGATCACAGCACTTCTCCCCAATCTGATCCACTTTAGCCATTATTCATATTGAGAGGTCACGTTTGTTTCCCTGCAAGAACAAATCTTACCTTCTGGCTTTCAAAAGATCTAGAATATCAGCCGGGCATGGTGGCTTATGCCTGTAATCTTAGCACTTTGGGAGGCTAGGGCAGGCGGATCACCTGAGTTCAGGAGTTCAAGACCAGCCTGGACAACATGGTGAAACCCTGTCTCTACTAAAAAATGCAAAAAAAAAAAAAAAAAAAAAAAAGTAAGCTGGGCATGGTGGCATATACCTGTAGTCCCAGCTCTTCGGGAGTCTGAGGCAGGAGAATTGCTTAAACCCAGGAGTCAGAGGTTGCAGTGAGCCGAGGTTGTGCTACTGCACTCCAGCCCAGGCGACAGAGCAAGACTCCATCTCTTAAAAAAGAGAAACAAAAAACCTATACTGTCTTCACCAGTGCAGATAAACAAATGGTAATGCCAAGACTGTCAGCATTTTCTAAGACAGGACAGGAGATGGGGACATATATGGTGGGCCTATGTTTGTCCCAATCTGCCTTAAAATCCAAATCTTACCTTAGGCTGGTGGGGATTTTAATTAAAATTAGAATGTGAACATTTTTATCATGAAGCTATCACGGTATCTCAGTCCCACTTGAATGTTGTTATGTAAGTGAAATTCTCCTAAAGTATTTTCTAAACTATCCATTCTGTATGGAGGTATGTGTTTCGCTTGTGTAGGGATGACTTATTTTTTATTAAGTTTTCTGAAATGAGAAACAGAATTGGGGAAACAGGTATTCTCAGTCTTTACTCTCTAGTGGTATTGGTTAGTTTTAGGCTCAGAGACCCTGGTCATGTCTCTCCAGCTTCTCGGAAGACAAATACATTGGTGGAGCCGGTACGCACCTTTGTAGAACTGTCTCTACTCACCCTACTGTGATGTCAAAAATGTTGCTTCCAACAGAGCTTGACACAGCCATGTCCCCTAACCCCTTCCGGGCCACTATGACACTGGTGATAAGATCAGGGATGGAGGTTCCAGCAGCCAAGATGGTCAGACCCATAATCTCTTCACTGATGCCGATCGTCTCTCCAACCTAAATGTCAGGACAGAAATAAACATCTCGGTGTTCGAAGTTTTAAAATCATAAAAACCACAAAAATTTCAATGCAACCTCCTTCAAATGCACTTCTAGACTGTGCTATGCAAAGTGCTGATATGATACAGATGAATAAGCCACAATCATTACTAATAGAGTTTATACTCTTATGATATTCAGACCCAAGGCATCAGGAATGTTCACGTGAGAATTAAACAGATAATCTCAAATAAAAAAGACTTCTAGGGGACTAGAGTGCAGCTTTATTTGGTGCTTTCTAAGGCTGAGTCAGAGAAGCTGTAAGATGAGAGGTAGAAAAGCCAATTTCCCATGGAATCCAGGGGGCAGCACCTGGCAGGGGCAGCAAGTCTATGGCAGATTGGCCCCTCAACTTACCGCCAAAACCAAGGACTGACACCCAGGGTCTCCATTTTCCTTCAGCATCTCCTAGTATCTGTAACCCATTCTTAAACACGCAGACTCTATCATTTCCACTGGAAACTTGATTCTGGATGTTTGGGGTTTTGGTAACACACAGCAAAGCAGCTGTGGTTAAGCAAAAGCCAGAAAATCAGAGGACCTGGATCCAATATCTGGCTCTGGTATGTGTTAATTTCTTGATATTTTGCTTACTGAGAAGTCTTTGATTCTCACTTTCTCATCTGTAAACTGGGGATAATACCACCTACCTTACCAGGTGCTTGTGAAAACTAAATAATTTGTGGACAGGCCCTTTGTAAACAGTACATTATTATTAAAAAGCAAGGAGAGGGCAGCTATTACTTTTTTTTTTCTTTTTAGTCTTTGTCTTTGCCTTTTAAGACTGATGAGATCTTTTTTGGAAGGTTGGTCTAGCCTCAGGTGGAAATTCCTCCATTCTCTTGAGCAATTTCTTTGTCGTCTTGGGAGTTTTTAGAATTTTTTTTTTTTTTTTTTTTAAGCAATGGGGTCTTGCTCTGTTGCCCAGGCTGGAGTGCAGTAGCACAGTCATAGCTCACTGCAGCCTCAACCTCCTGGGCTCAAGCGATCTTCCAACCTCAGCCTTCAGAGTAGCTGGGACCACGGGTGAGCACCACCACACCTCACTAATTTTTTTAAGAGATGAGTCTTACTATGTTGCCCAGACTGGTCCTGAACTCCTGGCCTTGAGATCCTTCTGCCTTCGCCCCCCAAAGTGCTGGGATTATAAGTGTGAGTCGCTGTGCCTGGCCTCTTGGAAATTTTCAAACCTATACGTGTTTTGCTGGAGTTGGTGAAGTGTGGTTCTGAAAACCTTCAAGATAATGCTTTCCATTTGGTTTCCAATAGGTTACCTGATGATGTTCAGCAGTTTTTGAAAAAATTAAAGGGCTAAAATAGCATATAAGGATAAAGGTTTTTAGGGAATAATATCACTCATTTCGAAATTCTTATAAGAAATAGCATGGTTTCTACCGGCTTAAAAGCATATTTTTGTTTTGATGCTCATGCCTTTTCCAGAGCCTGGTGAGCTGCACTAGCTTACCCTGTCCTCACGGTGCACAGAGTCACTGCTCCCCATTTGAAAGTAAGCTCCATGTATGCAGGATCCGCGCCCTGGTCACTGTGATCTCCATAACTGACAGAACAAAGCCTAGTACGTGGCAGATTCTCAATACCGATATGCTGAGCAATCAATCTGCACACACAGGTGATTTCACTAGCCTGTTTTCGTGCTGATTCTCCTAGAAAACGTTCAGTATGAGTTTTGCATAGGAGCACACTATTTGAGCAAAATATTCTCCTTGATGTCAATTTTGTGTTAGATTTGGAGTGAGGCATTGTCAAAGACTGCGAAGATGCTGACTAAACAATTGTCACTGTCAGCAAGTTCCAATCTATTTAAAACATTTTTTTTTATAAATATGCATATACATACATATACAAACATATACCTACCCATTTCTTTTTTTTTTCCCCCATTTATTAATTTTATTGCATTTTAGGTTTTGGGGTACATGTGAAGAACATGCAAAATTGTTGCATAGGTACACACGTGGCAGTGTGATTTGCTGCCTTTAAAACATTCTTAATAAATTCTCCAAGGGAATTCTAAAGCAGTGACTGTTTCAAAAATCATTTAGCTGGGCGGTGGCATCCACCATAGTCCAAAATCATTTAGCTGGGTGCAGTGGCATCCACTGTAGTCCCAGCTATTTGGGGCCGAGGCACAAGGATCATAGAGACCTGGACATTTGAGACCAGACTGGGCAATACAGCAAGACCTTGTCTCCAAAATATAAACAAAATAATTCATATTTGGAGTTTAGATGCTACTGTATACAGGAAAACATAGGAATTGAAGAGGAGAAAAATGGTGGTGTGGTTAAGAGCACTGGCTTGGGAGATGATAGTGCTGAGTGCAAATCCTAGCCTGCTGCAAGGTAGACAACTTCCCAGAGTCTTGGATTTTCCCATCTGTAAAATGAGGATAATATCCACTCAGAATTGTTGATGACTGTACGTGATGATGCAAATAAAGTAAATAGCAGTGTTAGGCATACAGTAAAAGTTCAAGAAAACCCAGAATTGATTTTATTATTTATTTTTTTCTTTTGTTGAGATGGAGTTTTGTTCTGTTGCCCAGGCTCGGCTGCAGTGGCACGATCTCAGCTCACTAAAACCTCCGCCTCCCAGGTTCAAGCGATTCTCCTGCCTCAGCCTCCTGAGTAGCTGGGATTACAGGTGCCTGCCATCACATCTGGCTGATTTTTGTATTTTTAGTAGGATGGGGTTTTCAGTTGGCCAGGCTGGTCTTGAACTCCTGACCCTCGTGATCTGCCTGCCTCAGCCTCCCAAAGTGCTGGGATTACAAATGTGAGCCACCGCGCCCAGCCAAAAAATCAGATTTTACAACTCGGACATTACTCCTTTCCGTCTCTGATTTATCAGACTGGCAGGTGTCTGGCAGCAGAAACAGAAGTGGACTTACTGGGGCCAATTCACATCATGGAAAACTGCATGAGAGTTTTCATTAGACATCAAACCCCTGGTGAATCTGTGTGGCTCTAGAAACACTTCTGTGGAAGGAGAACTAGCCTTTATAAGCTTGTTTTGAGTACATTTCACTGAAGTTAACTTTTTCAAATCAGTAAAGATGATGGGCGCATGGATGGGACGGTACTCTGAAAATTCAGGGAGCGTCAGAGAAGTTTAGAGCTATTAATAGAAAGAACATCAGCAGTCTTTTGGGGAAATTCCCTCATTTTCTTAAAAACAGCAAATGATGAGGCCAGTCAGAGGTCAGACTCCATGCTGCTCCCAATATTCCATGATGCAGTTCTGTGCCTTGATTTAAGGAGGATCTGAAAGAATGTTACGTTAGCTAAATGAGATACAAGATCTTATTTAACTCTTAAAATTAACTCCTAATATTAGATGCAGGATTCACTTTAACCACAGATTTTCATCAACCATTAAATTCATTAAAGTACAAAAACAATAAACAACAACAAAACCCAAAAACTAAAGGACAAAAAAGAAAGAAAAGCTAAGGGCAAATTGCGTTAAAGTGTAGGTGAAGGGCATGTATTTTTGCCAAACAGTAGCTAAATAATTTATCAAATAGCATTTATGATTGATAAAAGCATTGATAAAAGAATGAAACACTAAATTGTATAACTGCTATGGATTTTATAGTTCAGAAATACAAACAACAGAATTAGAGCTAGACTTCTTGGAACAGAATCTGCTATTGTGTTAGCTGTCTGGGTGTTTTGAAAGACAAAAGCATTTCTATGGGAGAAAGAAGAGAAAGTTCTCTTCCATCATTGAAAAGTAAGGCTTCTGTTTATGCCTTTAATTCATCTTGGCTTTTAAAAATTATTGTTTCAGGCGTTGAATTTGCATTCCTTTTCTTTTTTTTGAGATGGAGTCTTGCTCTCTCACCAGGCTGGAGTGTAGTGATGCAATCCTGACTCACTGCAACCTCTGCCTCCTGGGTTCAAGCGATTCTCCTGCCTCAGCCTCCTAAGAAGCTGGGACTACAGGCACGTGCCACCACACCCACATAATTTTTGTATTTTTCGTAGAGATGGGGTTTCACCATGTTGGCCAGGATGGTCGTGATCTCTTGACCTCTGATCCAACTGCCTTGGCCTCCCAAAGTGCTGGGATTACAGGCATAAGCCACTGCACCTGGCCTTGTATTCCTTTTCTTTGAAAGAATGAAAAGAAAACAAGACTGGAATTAAGGTAATCATTAAAAAGAAAAGAAAAAGATGGAATTTTGCAAGATGATGTTTTCTAGGTTGGCTGAAAAGAAATAGCTGGAAAACAGCAAATCCCAACAAGTTAGAAAAACACCATTTTTTCTTTATTAGTAAATGGGGAAATAAAATATCATTAAGAAAAGCTATTATATGTTATAAATGGTAAACAGTCCTTTCAGCCTGGACATCTGGAGGTTGAGAAGCAGCCCACCTTCTGCTGTGATTTCTGCCAGGTGTTGGTAGTGAATGTCTGTCAATGAATGTAGAAAATAATGATTCCAGGGAACAGAGAACTTGATCAGGGAGTGAATGGTTTTTGGAAATATACAGGAAGAGTAATCTGAAGTTAAATGTCAGTAAAATAACTGATAAAACACAAAATTATTGTAGAAATAAGACAGTGTATCAGCCAACATTTTCTGTGGATTTTGCTAGTAACATGTATTCTTTTAAAAACCAAGGTATGCTTTACATATAATAACACTTATTCACTTTTTAAAAAAATTGTACAGTTCTGCAAGTTTTCTTTTTTTCCCTATTTCTATTTGAGACAGGGTCTCACTGTGTCACCCACGCTGTAGTGCAGTGGTGCGATCTCAGCTCCCATTGCAGCCTCCACCTCCGGGGCTCAAGTGATCCTCCACACCTCAAGCTCCTGAGTAGCTGGGACTACAGGCCTGTGCCACCATGGCCAGCTAATTTTTTTGTATTTTTGTAGAGACAGGGTTTTGCCATGTTGCCCAGTCCGATCTTGAACTTCTGGGGTCAAGGGATCTGCCTGCCTCAGCCTCCCAAAGTGCTGGGATTGCAGGCATGAGCTACCGTAACCAGCCTGCAAGTTTTTACAAATGTATGCAGCCATGTTTCTCCACATCCTCATCAACACGTGCTGTTTTTTTTTTTTTTTTTTTTTTTTTTTTTTTAAATAGCCAACCTAGTGGTTGTGAAGTGATACCTTATAATTAGTTTTAAACAAGTTTACTGAGATAAAATTTACATACTTTAAAACTCAGCTATTTTAATGTATATAATTCAATGGTTTTTAGTGCATTCAGAGTTGTGCAGCCTTCATCATAATTTAGGTTTTGAACTTATTCATCATCCCCAAAAGAAACCCCATACCCACTAGCAGTCGTTCCCCATTTTCCCCAACCTTCCCAATCCTAGGCAACTGTTAACACTAACCTATTACATGTCTCTATAGGTTTGCCTATTCTGTACCTTTCATATAAATGAAATCATATGATATGTGTCCTTTTGTGACTGGCTTTTTTCACTTAGCATAACATTTTAGAGTAACATTCATGTTGTATGTGTCAGTACTTCATTTATTTTTACTGTGTAATAATATTCTATTGTATGGATATACCACATTTTGCTTATCCATTCATCAGTTGATGGACATTTGGGTTGTTTTCACCTTTTGGTAATTATGAATAATGCTACTTTGGACATTTGTGTACAAGTGTAGATGTATGTTTTCATTTCTCTTAAGTCTATTCCTAGGAGTGGAATTGCTGGATCATATGGTGACTCTATGTTTAATGTTTTGTGGAACTGCCAAACTATTTCCCAAAATGGCTGCACTATTTTACATTCTTATCAGCAGTATGTAAGGATTCTAATTTCTATACATCCTCATCAACACTTGTTATGTTCTGTCTTTTTCATTATACCCATCCTGGTGGGTGTAAAGTGGTATCTTGTAATGGTTTTGATTTACACTTCTTTAATTAATAATGATGTTGAGTATATTTTCTTGTGCCTTTTAGCCATCTGCATATCTTTTTTTGGTGAAATATCTGTTCAGATCTTTAAAATTAGGTTACTTGAAGATGCTTGCCTTCCTATTATGGAGCTTTAAGTTTATATCCTGGATACAAGTGCTTTATCAGATATATATGATTTGCAAATATTTTCTCCCAGTCTGTGGTTTTTCTATTCCTTTTAAATGGTGTTTCTTGAAGGGAAAAGGTTTTAATTTTAATGAAATCTAATTAATCAATTTTCTTGCTTTCATGGATCATGCTTTGGTATTACATCAAAGAACTCTGCCTGGCTTCTAGTCATACAGATTTTTTTTTCAGTCTTCTAAAAGTTTAATAGCTTTACCTCTTAAATTTAAAACTGTGATCCACTTTCAGTTAAATTTTATGTAAAGTATGACGTAAGGATCTAAGTTTGTTTATTTTGGCATATGGAAATCCAATTATTCTAGCACCATTTGTTGAAAAGTATATTCACATGTGTTCTGAGTGTACATTTCCTGATTTCAAATTGCTATATTTTATTTATGTTAACAAGTATAATAATATTAGGACTATATTAAACAAAGGATACAAGTGGGAAGTTTGGAATTTATGTCGTTTTTAATAGAGACTAAAAGCCTGATTTTTGGAGTTGTAGAGTCCTAGGTTAAAATCTCAGTTCTACCTATGTGATCTTGGGTAATCTTACCAGCTTTAAGCTTAACTTCTTTACCTGTAAACTGTGGATAATAACAGTACCTCCTTTAAAGGCTCTGAATGTATATACAATATAGGGTTACTGTCAAGATTATAAAGACAAAGGGATGTGAATTGCAGGGTGTGTAGTACATACTCAGTTATCAATGATTACCACTATGTGACAATGTGAAACATTGAATCTTACTCTTCATTCATGTTTTTCAATAACAATTACTGAGAGTGTATTCTTGTGATAGGCATTATAACTGGTATTAGGTTAAAAATAAAAATGAAACACATTATCCCTTTTATAAAGTGAAGCTGAAGGAAAAGGCTATTTTGTCTCCAGATGCTTTCCTAAGACCCAGTTTTGAAAGGCTGGTTAGAACATGAAGTGAGTTGCTCAAGATGAAGTAAGTACTACTGAACCAGGCAAAATGTTGACATGCCTCCCAGGCCCGGGTTGTCCTGGCCTCAGGATGCAGAGGCAAGAAGCAGTTAGACTTGTCTGCCTCCACGTGGCTGTCCAGAGGCTATGCTGATTCAATTCCATGCTATAGGGAAAAGCCAGCCAGTAGACTAGGGAAAGTTAAGTGTCTAAATTCCTTTAGTCCTAGAATGCCAGCTCGTCTGTGTCATACCCAATACTGTTGTGGCAGTTTCGGAAAGCAAACACAATGATTAAGCACTTGACAGTCAGGACTGGAGAAAAACCAGGCAGATGCATGTCCCTATTAAATTCTTACCTGGTGTGCCCACCAGACCATCAAGTAAGAGAATACTGCAATCCAGCTAATGGCGCCAAAGAACGTGATGGGAAAAAACTTCCTTGATGACTGAAAGACAATCAAGAAGAGGTTAAGAATGTCAGTGTTATCCATCGAGATGGATCTGAAAGTTCAAAGCTAAAACCACCATTGTAGCCGTTTCTCTAGCGTTTCCTGCATCTTAGGATTAGTGATCAAAAGGCCCTACCCCTGATCAAACTGGGACAGTAAGATTCTCCTTTCGAGATGTGAAATTGATAGAACTGAATGATCACAGTGCTGGTTCCTGGAAGTCTTGAAGAGAATGTCTGTTAGTTCCTGTTGCTAGATGTTTAGATTCCCTCTACTCTTGCCCTTTCTAAGGCCTGTTTTTTTTTTTTTTTTGACCTTTCCTTCAATATTAACACCATATTCTTCCTCTTCCTTTTTCTTTTTGGCTCCAAAGTTTATCAGAATCAGTTTCTATTGCTTGCAAACCATGAATCCTAACAATCCATAAGCCAGAAAACCTATGTGATTAATTACATTGAACAAGATATGGGAAGTATCAGCAGGTTTAAAAATAGATTGACTCATTTTACAGTGTCACGAATTATCAAGAAAGCCACATAGAAGAAGCCACCACCACAGCTTTTATAGATTCTGGATGATGGCCAGTCTCCAGGACCCTGGACCACACAGGGACTACAGTAGACAAAGGCAGAGATGCCCAATTGTACTGATTTCCACTGCGGTGGCAGATCAGACATTCCTCTTAAGAAGGTTTTCTCTCCTGTTCACTGCCCCAAAATATATTATGTTCAATTCTGCTTCTAGATGTAGACTTTATGCTATCTCATTCATAAAGTGTGAACACTTTTAAAGTTTTCTAGAAATGGCCAAAAAATCAGACATTTGAAATGCAGTGCTTCCTACCCAGCCCCACTAAAGAGAAATCCAGGTTTGCATCTTAGTGGTGTTCTTTTGATGTCCTTTGTTGAAAAACTGGGGTCCTTTAAAAACACACTCAGACAGCACAATGCTGTCAGAGAGCCTCTCACCTATTATTGCCAAACACTTTTTATTTCAAAGCTTTCTACATTGAGAAACAACTCCACATTTTGCTTTGATAATGCCATCCAGTTTTATCTAGAGAAATGAATTTTAGAGTTGACTTGGATGAAAGCAATCTCAATTGTCTGAAGGGCTGACCTTGGGCAGTCACATAGAACATTTTCCGTCATGGCTTTTGAGAGCTTCATTAAAAGGAAAAGATAAACTCGTATATGGTAATCTTCTGAATATCAATAATAAGGAACACAGTCTCTATTGCTCCAAACCAGGCTTATGTTTTCTAAAATATATATTTTTTATGATCATTTTCATGGTTGTTAAATTTCACACCATCCCTTCCTTTCTTTAAATGACTGCTGTTTAGTGGGGCCATTTGGTAGCTCGGTTGGCTGAAAGACCAAGCAGTCTTGATTAAATTGGGGAGGGCATCAGGCCACAGCGAGTAGCCAACACCTTATCCTCAAATGCTTTTTCCTGCCCCCTTTCTTTCTTAGAAGAAAAATACTGTGGACAAGGACTCAGATCCCTCCTGGTGACCTAAGTGCTTTAATGGGTAATGGAGGAAAAAAGTAATCATTTTTTTCAAAGTGGAATTGGAGACCTTCGCTTCTTTTTTTTTCTTTTCTTTTCTTTTTTTTTGAGACACAGTTTCACTCTGTTGCCCAGGCTGGAGTGCAGTGGTGTGATCTTGGCCCACTGCAACCTCTGCCTCCTGGGTTCAAGCCACTCTCCTACCTCAGCATCCCAAGTAGCTGGGATTACAGGTGCCTGCTACTATGCTTGGCTAATTTTTTTCTTGTGTTTTTAGTAGAGCAAAGGTTTCACTATGTTAGCCAAGCTGGTTTCGGGATATGCCTACTCAGTCTCCCAAAGTGCTAGGATTATAGGTGTGAGCCACCGCACCCAGCCATTAGATCTTCACTTATGAAAGCACATTTTTCTAAAAAATATATATATACTTCAAGTTCTGGGGTACATGTGCAGAACATGCAGGTTTGTTGCATAGGTATACATGTGCCATGGTTTGCTGTATTCATCACCCTGTCATCTATATTAGGTATATCTCCTAATGCTATCCCTTCCCTAGCCCCCTACCCCCCCAGCAGACCCCAGTGTGTGATGCTCCCCTCCCTGTGTCCATTAGTTCTCATTGTTCAACATCTGCCTATGAATGAGAACATGTGGTGTTTAATTTTCTGTTCTTGTGTCTGTTTGCTGAGAATGATGGTGTCCAGCTTCATCCATGTCCCTGCAAAGGACATGAACTCATCCTTTTTTATGGCTGCATAGTATTCCATGGTGTATATGTGCCACATTTTCTTGATCCAGTCTGTCATTGATGGGCATTTGGGTTGGTTCCAAGTCTTTGCTATTGTGAACAGTGCTGCAATAAATTTACATGTGCATGTGTCTTTACAGTAGAATAATTTATAATCTTTTGGGTATATACTCAGTAATGGGATTGCTGTTTCAAATGGTATTTCTGGTTCTAGATCCTTGAGGAATTGCCACACTGTCTTCCACAATGGTTGAACTAATTTACACTCCCACCAACAGTGTAAAACTGTTCCTATTTCTCCATATCCTCTCCAGCATCTGTTGTCTCCTGACTTTTTAATGATCACTATTCTAACTGGTGTTAGATGGTATCTCATTGTGGTTTTGATTTGCATTTCTCTAATGACCAGTAATGATGAGCTTTTTTTCCATATGTTTCTTGGCTGCATAAATGTCTCCTTTTGAGAAGTGTCTGTTCATATCCTTCACCCACTTTTTGATGGGGTTGTTTTTTTCTTGTAAATTTGTTTAAGTTCCTTGTAGAATCTTGATTTTAGCCCTTTGTTGGATGGATAGATTGCAAAAGTTTTCTCCCATTCTGTAGGTTGCCTGTTCACTCTGGTGATAGTTTCTTTTGCTGTGCAGAAGCTCTTTAGTTTAATTAGATCCCATTTGTCATTTTGGCTTTTGTTGCCATTGCTTTTGGTGTTTAGTCATGAAGTCTTTGCCCATGCCTATGTCCTGAATGATGTTGCCTAGGTTTTCTTCTAGTGTTTTTATGGTTTTAGGTCTTACATTTAAGTCTTTAACCCATATTGAGTCAATTTTTGTATAAGGTGTAAGGAAGGGACCCAGTTTCAGCTTTCTGTGTATGGCTAGCCAGTTTTCCCAACACCATTTATTAAATAGGGAATCCTTTCCCCATTGTTTGTTTCTGTCAGGTTTGTCAAGGATCAGATGGTTATAGACGCGTGGCATTATTTTTGAGGCCTCTGTTCTGTTCCATTGGTCTATGTCTCTTTTTTGGTACCAGTACCATGCTGTTTTGATTGTAGCCTTGTAGTACAGTTTGAAGTCAGGTAGCATGATGCCTCCAGCTTTGTTCTTTTTGCTTAGGATTGTCTTGGCTATGTGGGCTCTTTTTTGGTTCCATATGAAATTTAAAGTAATTTTTTCCAATTCTGGGAAGAAAGTCAATGGTAGCTTGATGGGGATAGCATTGAATCTATGAATTACTTTAGGCAGTATGGCCATTTTCATGATATTGATTCTTCCTATGCATGAGCATGGAATGTTCTTCCATCTCTTTGTGTCCCCTCTTATTTCCTTGAGCAGTGGTTTGTAGTTCTCCTTGAAGAGGTCCTTCACATGCCTTCTAAGTTGTATTCCTAGGTATGTTACTCTCTTTGCAGCAATTGTGACTGGGAGCTTACTCATGATGTGGCTCTTTGTTTTTCTGTTATTGGTGATTAGGAATGCTTGTGATTTTTGCACACTGATTTTGTATCCTGAAACTTTGCTGAAGTTACTTATTGGATTAAGGAGTTTTCAGGCTGAGATGATGGGGTTTTCTAAATATTCAATCATGTGATCTACAAATGGAGACAATTTGACTTCTTCTTTTCCTAATTGAATATCCTTTATTTCTTTCTCTTGCCTGATTGCCCTGGCCAGAGCTTCCAGTACTATATTGAATAGGAGTGGTGAGAGGGCATCCTTGTCTTGTGCTTTCAAAGGGAGTGCTTCCAGTTTTTGCCCATTCAGTATATTATTGGCTATGGGTTTGTCATAAATAGCTGCTATTGTTTTGAGATACATTTTATCAATACCTAGTTTATTGAGAGTTTTTAGCATGAAGAGCTGTTGAATTTTGTTGAAGGCTTTCTCTGCATCTATTGAGATAATCACGTGTTTTTTGTCTTTGGTTTTGTTTATGTGATGGATTACATTCATTGATTTGCAAACGTTGAATCAGCTTTGCATCCCAGGGACAAAGCTAACTTGATGGTGATGGATAAGCTTTTTGATGTGCTGTTGGATTTGGTTTGCCAGTATTTTATTGGGGATTTCCACATTAATATTTATCAGGAATACTGGCCTAAAATTTTTTTTGTTGTGTCTCTGCCAGGTTTTGATCTCAGGATGATGTTGGCCTCATAAAATTAGTTAGGGAGGAATCCCTCTTTTTCTATTGGTTGGAATATTCCAGAAGGAATTATACCAGCTTGTCTTTGTACCTCTGGTAGAATTCAGCTGTGAAACCATCTAGTCCTCAACTTATTTTTGGTTGGTAGGCTATTAATTGCTGCCTCAATTTCAGAATTTGTTAATGGTCTACTCAGGGATTTGACTTCATCCTGGTTTAGTCTTGGAAGGGTGTAAGTGTCCAGGAATTTATCAATTTCTTCTAGATTTTCTGGTTTATTTATGTAGAGGTGTTTATAGTATTCTCTGATGGTAGTTTGTATTTCTGTGGGATCATTGGTAATATCCCCTTTATCATTTTTTATAGCATCTATTTGATTCTTCTCTCTTTTCTTCTTTATTAGTCTGGCTAGCAATCTATCTATTTTGTTAATCTTTTCAAAAAACCAGCTCCTGGATTTACTGATTTTTTTTGAAGTTTTTTGTGTCTCTATCTCCTTCAGTTCTGCTCTGATCTTAGTTATTTCTTGTCTTCTGCTAGCTTTTAAATTAGTTTGTTCTTGCTTCTCTAGTTCTTTTAATTGTGACCTTAG